GATCGTTGAGGTGCGCAAACCGTCACACCACGGTAAGGTCCAGTCTCTTCGTGACGGGACACTAAACCATACGACAAATGATGCTGGAACAACGATTGTCGAACGCCTGAAGGCGTCTCAGTTCCGCTGCTCAAACAGGCCAAGTCTCACAGCCATTCAACAAAACAACCCGCACTGCAACTCGATACACACGTTCCTTGAGATTCAGGGATACATCACTTTAGCGCCATATGTGTCTCAAATTAGTAAACGCGACCCGGGCCTTACAGATTCGTGCGTTCACCTCACCTGTCACACTACAATCGGAAAAAATAAAGCTTCCAAGATACGTAAAGCGCTCCACAACTTCTAGTGCCTCCCCTAGATTGTAAGTCGCATGTTCAGTGTTTGCACGTCCACGAGCATGACCTTTGTGGGTGCAAAGTGCATACCAAAGACGGGGGTGACTTTGGTCAGCTCATCCAAAAAAAACCTGCGCCTTATCCTCCTCTTCGAAAATGAGAACGATGTCGTCTGCATATTCCATATCGACTAGGCTATTTGGGCACCAGGGTTTTGAAGACCTTCCAGTGTTCGTCTCATTATCTCATGGGTTACAAAATTAAAAGGGAATGGAGAGAGTGAGCATCCCTGACGGACACCGCCTTGTGTACGGAGGCTTTTGGAGAGCTCGCTGTATACTCTCACACGTCCGGAAGTCTGAGAATACAAAGAACGTATTGTGTTCACTTCCGAGGCATCCTTTGGTGGTGGAATACTAGAATTGTGGGTCGCCTATATGTATGGTGTTATTCCACCACATGGCGGAGTGTGAAGATTTGGTCAACGCAAGTCTGTGGCAGGCATACATCCGAACTAGACAATTTCCGTTGTCAGTGCGTCTCGTATCCAACCCAAGATGACCACTGAATTGGGCCTCAACAGCGCTTAGTCGACGTCCAGGTCACCGGCAAACACAGGAATGTATGAACTTTAGGCCGTTATAAAAGAGCACGTAGAATGTCACAGACTGTCTTCGACAGATTCAAAGATATAGCCCGTCGGGGCGCGAGCAGATACAAGAAACAGGGTGCAATGGACCCCTAGATCATCTCAGATGTTGTCAAACGAACCGCAGAGAGGGAACTGTCAACGAGTATCCACTCAAGTAGAGACGCTTCAGCTTAATTCTTCAATACGATAACCACGCAGGTATATCCAGCTGCGGTGGTCTCCACACCACCAAGGGCACGGAAACATCGAAAATCATTCAGCTGCATTACCCTTTCTGCGCCTCACCATCATTCCACCAGAATGAACCACGAGGACTGGGATACTGCCAGGTTGCCCACACCCGGGCAAGAGAAGTCGAGAGGCAGGAGTCGGGTTCGAACCACGGACCTGCCCGTCAGTAAATTCGCGCCCTAACCACTAATTTATTGTTTATGTGGGCTGTGATATTGCCAGGGCGCCCACATATAGACGGGAGACTTGACAAGCCCTTGGCTCATAAGCCTGACAACAAGGCAACGGTGCTTGGCAGGCATTGCAAGTGTCTTACCATCTTTATAGAACAAGTTACAACATGTTCCAATAGGGGGTCAACCTCCAAGCTGGAAAGTCACGAGATTGTGTTCGCCAGAACTTTAATCATTCACCACCTGGTAGGGGAGACTCTTTCAGTGTCGCATGGACATTACCCAGTATAGTTCAATGGGTCGAGGAGGCATACAAACCATCAAACCGCGGTAAGGTCTAGTTTCTTCGTGACGGGATAGACGTAGGCGCATGTGAAACTATCAGACGCTAAATAATGGAGGAGTCGCTTGACGCACACTAGAAAAAGGGCCTTCGCTATATTCGTACCTACACCTGCAAGATTTCACTCATATAATCCAGAAATTGACACCATGCTAGACGGAATCCTGCGCTATACGTCGACCTGCTACATACAGTCAGCCGCTACACATCCGATACGGCTAATTCGCAGGTGATTGGTCAGATGAGGCCACTGTCAAGTCTGCCTCAAAACCGAGCTCTGATTGGTCGAAAATATGGGCCCAGTAGCCAATCACGATTCAGTATAAAGCAGAGCACTCAGGATTTCCTGGGTTTCCGAATTTCCAGTAAAATGTCACTGCATCTGACTTAGATACGACGCGCTGTATACGGGTTTTTGACCCATTTTTCTGTGGCGTAGTACGCAATGTGCATCATTGGTGGTTGCTCTGCTGAGATGATCGAAATGAGAGTTGAGATTGCGAATTACCGCCAGTAAACAGTGTGGTGTTTATACCTTCATTTTGCCTCCATTATAACACTATTCATTTTGTAAATCGCATAACCGTTTTTTAATGCGAAAAACTACAAATCTGCGCACTTGTATAATCTCACGCAATACACACCTGCTCACGTGCCCCGACCCTGTCTTCTGATTCCGCCCACGCTTACAGCGGTCATTCGCGAGTCTCATGTGCTATCTCTGGTGGCAAGACATTTCATACCATCTTCGGAATCCATTATATGTGGAAACTGTTCAAAAGAGGACTATGGACATGCCTGATGGGATTACTGTTTATTCGCTGGCTTGGATCAATGACGAATATCAGTGAGTCTGTTCCCTCTGACCCTCTTATTATTGTATAATCAATCTAGCGTTTTTTATTTCTTTACCACGCACTCTTGGTAAAGTAAATTATTGGGCGGCCATACCACTACAGTAGCAGAAATGGCAATGATTCGGATCAGCTATCATTTCCTGCAATGCCCTCAGCCATGTTCAGGACTAGTGGTCTGCGCAAACCACACCCAGGCTCTTCATATTCCTCTCCGTTCAGCTCCACATAGCCAAACGGATCTTTTAGTTTTGCGGGATACATGTACAAACTAGATTTTTCGGCATGCGTAGAACAACAAAGTCGCTACAGCTGACGAGGATGGACGTTCTTCTCCGATGAATTACTTGCCAGTTCATCGATTGCATCCGATACTGCCAACACTTCTGGGGCAAGTGTGGTCAAAAACCTGAACAGCCTCACACCATTTACCCTGGGAGACCACTCCCACAACCCCGTGGCAAGACAGTCCTTCCTGTGTCTCGGGACATGCGAATATCTAGACAAAGCCGTATGCCCGTTTGTCGCCACAAGTGACATAACTTAGCAAACTGGTTCAGTCTTTGAGAGTTGTGCGCCGACTTCACCAGGCTTACCTCCATCAGAGAGGTAATCCTGCCCACAGTTGAAGGGCAGGATTCTACATTATCTCAAATGTTTCCCTTAAAACTGTAAAGGAAATTGTCTGAGGCTGCGCCTTCTGGGGCATTACTGCACTCTAAAGTTGCCAGATGAACGCCGAAAAATGGTTTATTGGTGGTCAGTTTAGTCCGAATTGTGCTTGTTCGTCATTTTCAAAGATGGGAAGATGGCGTCTGAGCACCCTAGACAGGGTTTCCAGTTAAAGCGGTTTAAACAACGGGGTTTAGAGACCTTAAGCATCATGCCTCATTATTTTATCAACACTGACTTTGAACGAGAGTGTAGTTAGGGCACATGCTTGCAGGGCAATATCTTTTGGATATTTTGTCATACACCCTTACAACGCCCGAAGAATGTGAATTTAGGGACTGGTTATGTTAATGATGAGGATAATAATAGAGCTTGTTTCCAACTAGTGGGTAGCACGTCGTAAGGCATGATCAAAATGTTACGGCATGACTGGAGGAGATTGTGGGTACCATATTGTACGGAAAATGTCATAATCACTGGGCATTGGGCGGCTTCCTAGGGGCACACCAAAATTCCTCTGAAACAGTGGTATGAAGAAGGGAACTTTACCACAAACCTTAGCATTTGATTTCAAATATTTGGACCCTTAAGGTCGCGCCACGCGGATGCATTTTTGTTAGAAGTTGTTTAAACGAACTCGAAGTCCGCTATGGGCACGGAATCCGTATTCCACTGGTTACTGGTGTCTTGGTCCATTCTCTGTGAAAACGGTCGGAAATTCTACGGAAAACCCAGATTCTTCACGTATTAGATATGGAAATAATTGAAAAATAGCTTAGACAATAATCACGCCCATTACATCCAAGCAAACTCAAACTAGAGCGGCCATTCGCGACCTGGGCAGGAAACATTTTTTCTATGGCTGCGAGGAGCGCCTTGCTGAAGTAAAGGAATTCGTCACAGCTAGGAAGTTCTGCTTCTATGATGGTCAGTGTACGTCATATCTGGCATAAGGTACGCTTTTATCCTCACCGACATACTGGACCACCAATAGTGCCGTAGGATGAACTATTACGTTTGTGGGCAGAACAAGCAGACGGAACAATAAAATGGCCACTGCACTCAAGTTCTTGCACAAATTAAACGGACTGAGATGGTTTTGCGACGCTTGTCTGTGAAATAATAATAAAGATATGGTGAACTGCGGGCAGGCCACCGGACTGCGTATGGTAGTCGCTGTACCTGGTAATGTGGTGAATTATTAATAGCTCGAGTGAGTTTATTGGTTGTTGACCGGGTGGCTGCTTATCTGTTCGCCGAGCTTCACGGATTCACGGAGTGATACACAGGATCGAGGCTTTTGCCCAAGTTTCCCGGGTCGGTTTTGTTCTTGTCGGTCAGT